GGAGGAGGAAGAAAGGGAGGGAACAAGGGAGCAAGGAAGGGAGGGAGGGAGGAGGAAGGAGTAGAAACTAGGCCATCCAGGACCTCTTAAGGAAACATTCCATACTGCATGATTTGCACTAGACAATCTATCAGATCCTTTTGAAGACTGCAATTCTGACCAAGAGAGACAGAAAACATCTCACGTATTAAAGCCGCCAAATGTACGGTTCCGCTTGTTCCACAGGGCAGCAGCTGCACCAGCTGTGCCAAATACGAATTCTCCCTCCGGCTGAGATTGTGGGAGACCTGCTGAGATCGTCTCAGCTGGAAGCCACCTTTGGCGCCTATTACGATGCTGCAGCTGTGTTAATAATCTTTGGTGACTCCTTTGTTTCCCATTTTGAGGCTAGAATGTGCAATCTGTACAGGATATGAGCTTACGTCTAAATCCCCCAGGATGAATGTTCTGTATCTTAATAAATTATTTGTGGAATATAAAACCGTGTTGTAAATTAAGGCCTCCATTCTTTTGATGTGTGTGTATCTTGGAGAATGCCAAACAGCTTTCTGGAGGGCTCATATATTTTGTATGCTTTTCGTTTGTATTCCTCCAAATGCAACCCTCAGATTGTAGATGTTGACCTTGGAAACAGTGGAGGCAGATCACTGCAGAACTGAGACAGGGGCCTTTTGGTCGGCAGAATATGTTTGACTCTTTGAATTCCTTGTAAAATGGCATACCTGGGATAGTGACAGTGAATACATCAACTCCAAGTTCACTTTAAAGATGGGTAAACTCTCTAAACCTGGTTTAGGGTCATTCTTTCCAAGCTTTTGGACTCACAGAAAAAAAGTTTAGGTTTTTCATTCAGAGTTGTCTGAAATCTCAGAAAATCTGAGCTGCTCTTGATGTTTTCCTGTTGGCTCCCTCCTATCTCCAGTCCTCTCTCCAGATGACCTCCTCCATGAGAGTCCCCTTCGCTAGTACCAGGGAAGGGAAGGGTTGCAATGAGGTCCCCATGAGGCTCCACACAGCCTTCCCTAACAAGGTCAGTATTCAACTGTACCATTCCATTAGAACAAATGATGTTGGTCTATGGGAGACGATGTTGTGATCTGTGTGCAAGACGAGAATCCAATTAAAGTTATCTTTGCTCATGCACGGTTGTACAATCAATTCTGCATTAAGCTTGTGCAATCGTTTGTGTAACTGGCTGTACATTATATTTGTGAACCAGTTGAACAAGCACTTACACAACTGGTAGGAGAACAGAAGCAGTCAGTGGAATTTGTAGAATCACATCATTCCATAAAACCCTGGGAATTGTCCAGGCATTTTGACTACCACTACTCAGTCATCATGGTAGATGATCAGGAAGCTTAGGAGTTCTTTCCAAAACAGCTAGAAAGACCCAGGATTGAGAATACCAGCTCACTCAGAGGAGGTACCCAAGGCAAAGTTCTCTGGGCATTACAATCAGTCTATCTTTGAGCCATTGTTGCTCAGTCGCAAAGCCGTGTCTGACTCTTCATGACCCCATGGGCAACATTCCTCCAGGTTCTCCTATTCTCCGTCATCCCCTGGAGTCCACCCAACCCCACACCCACCTCTTCAGTGACCCCATCCAGCTACCTCAAACTCTGCCATCTCCTTCTGCCTTCAATTTTGAGCTATTACTAAAATACAATTTAAAGATACAAAGTCTCAGAAAGTCAAAGTATGTTTTTCAAAGAATAATATGCAAGCTGAGATCTTGTTCTTTCATTGGCCTGGGCTATTTTGGACCTTATCCAGTTTTGGTTGAAAACCATTACTAATCTCAACAATTTTATTATCTATTTCTATATTTTTACACTGATATACCGTCTTTCTGCCAATAAGTTTGGTCCCAGCCAGACTGACCTCAGGGGCCTCACAGTTGCAGCTCTCTGCCAGCAGCAAGGCTGCAGAATGCTAAATGCAGGTTCCACCCCTCCAGGGAGCCAAAGGGCTGCTAATCCAAGCTGGCCATCCAGTAAAGGAGGCCCAACAGACTCAGCCATCTTCCCCTGCTCCATGAGTCTGGCATGGTGGAAGAAGAGGAGCCAGCTGTCTGGCTGAATCTAAGCAGGTCTGAATTTGCCCAGGGAGATCACCAGGGAAAACTCAAGCATACTACCTTGAGCTCCATTATTGAAGAAAGGCAGAATGCATGTTAATAAACAATTAGCAAACAGAGACAGAGATGCTGATTTAAATAATGCTCCATTAGGTGTGTGCAAGAAATCCATCCATGGGTGAGAATTCAATGGATTTTGCTCCCTGGAAATTTCTGGTCCAATTTACAGAGTCTGAGTCCCTGCAGAGTGCGCCTTACATCCATGGGGCCCATGGAAGGAGCAGGACGCCACACACTGAAGAAGCAGCATCTGCTCACACAGCAGAAGAAGCTAAGACAACTGTTCCTTGGGCTGAAGAAGGTCGCTCTCAGAGCAAGTGTTCATGAGTGGCCACCAGGGAAGCAGCCGCCCCCTGACCACTGCAGCTGGGACAGAAGAAGGTGGTCAGCTGCGCAACCTGGGCTCCGGGAGTGTTGGTGAACTTCCTCTTGGCTCAACTTTCTTTGAAAGACCCAGCCAACCACAAGAGGAAGCCCACAAGTGCTTGGAGAGATGGATTCCAACAAGGTTTGTCCCAGTCCTAAGATCTCTGTTTCCCTCTCTCCTCCTGTGTGTGTGCATGGAGAAAGAAAGAGAGAGAGAGAGAGAGAGAGAGAGAGAGAGAGAGAGAGAGAGAGAGAGGGCATCTTTGGAAGATATGGCAAGTGAGAAGGCAGTGGAGGACTTCCCTCACATCAGATACTGGACTTCACTCTGAAGTTCATGACTCAGGCTGCAGCACAGTCGTGGGCACCTGCTCTGCATGCAGAAGGCCTCACGTTCCGTACCTGAAATACCCAGGTAGGGTGAGGAAAGAATCCTGCCTGAAACCCTAGACAGCAGCTGCCAGTCAGTGTCAACAACATGGAGCTAGATGGATCAATGATCTTCCTCAATATTTGACAATATACTGTATTACCAGGCCACCCCTGAGAAAGCAAGTCCTTTCAGGCAAAGTCTTTGCAAGAGGGGGAGAGTAGCTCAGAGGAAACTGGTTTCTGCAGCTAGTCCCCTCTCCCACCTGGCAGTGGAACATGGGCTCCCTGCCAACAGAGCATTCCCTTCTCAAAGCCCAGTTCACTTTTTTTTTTTTTTAAGAGGAAACTAGGGGATTCATGGGCACTGGCAACCCCGTTCCATGCAAATTTGGCTGAATGCCAGGGACTTTTCTTTTCTTTGTCTGCCCACTGATGGAATTCAATTTGGCACAAATGCATTCAGACACATTTGTGCCAAGTCAATGTTGCCCAGGTTCATGGTCCCCAAAATGTGTACATCCCTCTAAAATATGCAGATTCCAAGAAAATGTGTGCTTTTTACTTTTTTGTCTGTGAAGAAATTGAACATTTTTGAGTGTTGGTTTTTTCATTATGATACATATGGTTCCATGACTGAGAAAGAGAAAGAGCGAGAGAGAGAGAGAGACTTTAAGTCTGCAAATCCACAGAATCGGTGAAACTTGGGGGAAGTCCAACATAAGTATGCTGATGAAAGGTGGAACAGCAGGAAGACACAAGGCCATTCGGCGGCAGAACTCTTTGCTTCATTTTTGCTCTCTTTTTGAACTTTTTTGAACTCTTTGCTTCATTTGTGCTATGTTGCATTTCAGCTCTCTACGTGTTTATTTTGTCATAGTTACATCCATTTTGAAGACACCGAACCAAGAGACGTAAAACACACACACTTCTTTCTCTGCAAATGTTGCATGTTTCTCCCACACTGAATTTCTGAAAAGTGCAAGGAAAAGGGATGGAACTCCTACCTGGGAATATTCTTAGCAGACTGGAAGCCTGCCCACTCCCCATTTTCTGACCTGTCTGGAGCCTGGAATGAACATTTGCTCTGTGAACATCTAACACAAAACAATAAATGGCCATTACACTGCAAGCAAGTAAAATGAGGTATTGATGGCATGTTTTATATGCACCAGAAATATAACTCCATCAGCTCCAGTTATATTTAGGTTTCAAATCTTCCCACCTTCTGTTGTTTACCCAGCAGTATTGAGAACCTCGTTAAAAAGAAGAAACTGAGAATTATCTAAGCTTTAAAAGGAGATTTTACAAGATGCCGTGGGGGGCGGGGGGGGGGAATCTCACCATTTCTCTCTGCTGTATCAAAATGGAAAAATTCATAATCCATCCTGTTAATCATTGTTGGGTCAATGCATATTCTACCTATAAGACATCTCCCCCTATTTTATCTGCGCCCAGGCAGCATCTTTCCTTGTGTCCCACAAGCAGCTTTTTGAGGCCTGTAGAGAACTAGTGCATAAGGACCAGTTCACACAACCCCGAACACCCCAGTTGACAGTAAGGGCTGCAGCTGGCACCAACAGAGCTGCCCCTCCTAGCCTTGCTAGTACAAGCTCACACATATATCATCGAACAGTGCTTGAATGTTGGTGGGAGGCAGACCTTAGGAAAGGAATTTCAGTTCACTGCCATTTCCTTGTTTCATCCTCTTTGCTAATGAGAATTAGATGTCCAAAGTTCAGTGGGTGTGAATGCCTCTTCTGGCTTTCTTGGCTTCAGTGCCATCAAATGCTCACACACTGGTACAGCTCTGGAAAGAAGGAATACAGACGTTGCTGTGAAAAACTCTCCCTTGTACCTCTTTGCCAGACGATGGCAGATGCAGCGGGAAGCGGACATAGGGTAGTTTTGGCCACACTTGGGCTGGAAGGTGATTCTCGATGGCAGGGTGGACTAGCTGTGAGAACCTCCAGCTGCTAAGTCATTCAGATTCTTGTTGCAGATACAGAGTCTAGGAGGACGAGTTCTGAATCAATAATCCTCTATCCATCAGTTGTTATTGTTGTAAAGCTGCAAAGTCATCCCTGACTCTTTGAGACCCCATGGACAACATTCCTCCAGGTTCTCCTGTCCTCACCATCCCCTGGAGTCCACCCAAGCCCACACCCACCGCCCCAGTGACCCCATCCAGCCACCTCAACCTCTGCTGTCCCCTTTTCCTTTTGCCGTCAGTCGTTCCTGGCATCAGGGTCTCTATCCATCACCAGTTATTTGCAAAGCATCCTTACAGACCCTTGTATGTTGGAAAGGTCTGTAAATAAGCAGACACCCTTCTTGTTTGCCTCCACACTCTCTACTGTAGCCAAAGCTTCCCTTCAGGGACAGGATTGTGGTTTAAGTCTTTAAAACTATTACTCAGGTCTTTATTTGCTCTGAAGTCTTACCAGGAGGAAGCTGGAAAAAGCTACTCCCAGATATAGAGAGGTGAATTTAAGAAGGTTCTTGGAGTTAACAGAAGCTTTTGGCTTCCAAGTTTCTCCCACATCTCCAAGATTACTGCTGCTGGCAGCGGGGTAGGCAGGGAGGATTAACTTGTGAGGAATGGGGTGAATCAGTCATATATGTCTCACAAAAAAGGGGGAAACGGTCACCAACAACAAAAGGGCAAGAAAGGGCAAGAATTTGCATCAATTTATAAGAATAGGTGCAAATTTAGACACAAATATGATCAAAAAATGCATCTCACCCAAATGGAGCAGGCTGTGGCCAGGTGGCTTGTGTCTACTCAGCCCAGGGGCTAACTGCTGATGAGTAACTTCAGGGCCTGGCTTTCCTCCATGGTTCCTTATCCTTAGACAGGATGGTGAAGGATGCATTCAAATAGCAAGGTGTTATGCATGCTGTCTGGGCTCCTGCACATGATGCAGCAGAAGGCTGCTCATACTGGACTTTCCAGGATTGGAGCGCCATGTGATCGCTGCACAAACAATGTCCCTCTTCCACACCCGCTGCCACAGCCTTTGCACTACTGTGCCTGACTCAGATGAAGCCTGCCAGTTGTGCAACCTTTCTTCTGCAAGCATTCGTGGACTAAGGGGCCCAAGAGGGAGTCCGGAAATACAAGAGGAATGTATTCCACTAGGGTTCTTCCTCTCATGAATCATGAAGAGAACAGGGAGGAGTCTAAATCTCAGCAGTCAGTGATTTGACCATGACAATGGGCTCAGTCTATGCCCCCACTTTCAGATCCCCATGCCCAGCTTGCGGGGGGGTATAATCTGGAGTGTGTCCTGCTTCATGTATTGGACTGATGAATACTGGGACAGTTCCATGGTTGTCATGCAGTTCATGAAATCCCAAGCCATTCCAGATAGGCTGTTCTCAACATGGATATTAATTCTCCCCAGGACCAACAGCTTGAGGGACCTCAATACTGGAGGCAGCCTCCATCAGCTCAGGTAGGGAAAACCTTGGGCCATTGTAGTCCCATTCTATCCTGCTGATCCAGCATCACATGGAAGTGATGCCCAGAGGAAGAGATGAAACCCCTATAGTCCGAAGCAAGCCCTCTCCCTGCCTCTAACCTGACGCTGTAGTGTGCATCCCATCACCCCAACTGGAAGAGGTTGACCCTTTGCTGGTCACCCACTCATGAGAAATGAGGTGCTTTATTCAAAATTAAATTGTGGATGAGGGAGGACTTATTCAGCATTTTGATCAGTATCTGGAAGCTGAAGGGGAAGGGATAGTTCTTCCACCAATTCTTCAGTTTTGAGGAGGGCCAGAACTCAGTTCTCTTGTTGGTTGTCCGAGCAGCATTCCCCTTATCCAGCTAGCCCTCCTCCAATCCCTACCCATCACAAATTGGCCCTCTTCCAGGTCTCCCCACTTGCTTCCTCTCCAGTACAGATCCAGGCCCTGTGAAGGGGAACAAGTCCCCTCACAGATTGTGAGAACACACAACCAGCTGAGATGTTAGGAGTAGCCACTGCCCTTGTCTGTCCCCTGCAGCAGCTCTCCCAGGAGCTGACCTCTTTGGTTTCCTCCCCTTCGGGGATGTCACACCAGGGAACTTGCAACCCTCTTTGGCCCAGCACATGTGAATCCATGCCAAGTGGCAGGTGTTTCTGAGATTCCATATCAATCTGGCAGTTCAGGAACCCTTTGGAGAAGCTTGAGAAGAAAAGGGCTGTTCCGAATCCAAAGGAGGAAATTTACCCATCTCTATTGATAATGTGTAGCCACTTCATGAGCTCATCTGTGAGCTGACTGGCCCCGTGAGACTATGGTGTTGAGGTCAGAACTCCTGAGTTTAAATCCTGCCCCAGCCTCATATATGCCTGTAACATAAGAAGTCCCGCAGTGTATCACGCAACGAGTCCATCTAATTTATGGGAAGTTGCTCTGTTAATGCTGCCATATTCTGAGAGATGCGGGACCCTTCAGCCTGAGAGGCGCAGATCAGACCATTTTCGGTAGTAATTCACAAAGATCACATATCTGTGCATCCTTCGTCAGATGAAGCTTTTGATGGGTGGCAATCCATATTGCATGTCACATTCATACTGACCTGGAGGGAAGTTCAGCATGGCGAACTCCAGCCTGCATCTGGCCTGCTGAAGAAGTGAGCTACTAGCCTGGATTAGGTCCAGGTGGCCACCCATGAGAATAATGTCAGGGTGGCTTGCATAGAACTATAAGCTATGACCGGGGGCTCCTGGGACTGAGGTTACTCATTGTGGAATGAGCGTACCTGGTGGGCCAGGTGCTGTTTTTGGTCCATCCTCAATTTCAAGAAGAGAAATTGTGTTCTTAGCTCAGCCCCAGCAAAAAGACCTCTAAACTGCTTGGCATCAGGGTGCATCAAGGACACAGAATGAGCCTTATTCTTGTTATTATTTTCAGCCCTGGTGGATCTAAAGAAGTCAGGTGATATAGCATGTCCCATAATTAAATGCCAGCCTCTGAGGGGAGCAGCACAGCTCTTGCTCCCTGGCACACTCCTCTGATTAGGTCAGTAGAGGTTTAGGCAGCTGGCAGGGCTTCTCCTGGGAGAGAGATTTCTTCAGTTCGCATTGTAGTGCAAAACTGTTCTATTTCACACCTTCAAAACCAAATGAAAACCAAAACTCAATTACACATCCAAGTGCATCCAATATCTATGTTGATGAAAATGCATGTTATTTGTAAAACCATACATATTAAGCTATTTTTTTTTTCAAACCAGCTGGCAAATGTGTGTATTTTTGAAACTTCTAAAAGAATTTTTTTAACAAACCCCTCAATATTAGGGATATATATTAAGAATGGAAAGGAAAAAAGGAATGGGGCGGCATAAAAATGTTTTAATAAATAAATAAATAAATAAATAAATAAATAAATAAATAAATAAATAAATAGGAGGGAAGGAGGGAGGGACAGGGTGAAGGTGAGGGTGAAGTTTCTCCTAGTCGATGATTTCATCCTGAATTACTTGAATTTTTTTTCCATATAACCAAGTATATACAAGGAAGATAAAGTTATGTAACTGGACAACATCCCCTTTCATGACTCCAGTTTATTTAGGACAGGGGAAAAGTTCATTTTTAAAGTTTCACTCAATTGAGGGTGTGAAACACTGGAAAAGCTATGCAGTTTCTGCTCAACAAACTTTCAACACCTTTCCAACCTGGTGGCCAAAAGTGGTCCATGTTGGGGGGAAAATATTTGTAAAAATTTGGAACTGAGAACTGCACATTTTTAGTGTGTTTCACCCAAATTGTGATTTGAGCAGGGCCAATTATTCAATTTGATTGGAGTTGTTGCTTCAGCATTTTCACACGAGAAGCATCAAGGCATCTTTCTCTCCGTGTATATGCCAACACTCCACCTTGGCCACCATGAGTTTTCTAACTGTTCATTTTGGATCTGTACAAGTGAAATCCTCAGCTCCACCCTTTGTGAAAAGGGTGGAGCAGAAGCCCAAAATTTGTCCAAATTTTTAGGCTGAAAATGATGTCAACAATGACAACAACAGCAATGATCCATTTTAAAAACAGAACTCCATATGCTGACTTAAGTTGTACCAGCAGGGCAGGCTTGATGTAATGGAGTCTAGGCCCTGTCCAGAGAATCATCAGAAACTTTACCTCCTCTCCACCACTGGATTCCTCACACATCATAACCCCGGCGGCGTTGCTAATAGGAAATAGTTTCTTTGTCCCACAGAACTCAAGTGGGAGTGAGATTCTTCCTCCATGTGCTCCATCCAAACTTGGATTCTCTTTTAGCCAGCACTGAATCTAAAACCTTCGACGCTATTTCACCCAGAAGGAAGAGGTTTCAGAATAGTGGGAAAGGGAGAAACCTATATTCCCTTTCCATTTTCCATGAAATCTCCACCATAACCTTCTATGAACAATGTTACAAAAGTCCCATCACACTCCAACCGGAACTCTGAATATGGCTGCTTCTGTTCGAGGGTACAGATCGGAGTTTGCAATCCATATTCTTGGTCTCGAGGCAGATGCATTACTGAACTGCACTAAACTTCCCACGCTTCGCTCTGCAATGCTTCTCTCCCTTTCCATATAATTTCTTTATCTTTATTGCTCTCTGTGTGGTTGTCTTGTAGAGGTGCCAGAAAATGCTTCCATGGTTCTGCTCTGCCCAGAAGAAATAAACTTAGATCTAAAAAGTGTTTTATAGGCAAAATAAATTATAAGTGAGTCTTGCAGACAGTTGCTGAGCAAATTGATTTCTGTGTACAAATGTCCTTTCCTTGATTTGTTGATAAAATTTTAATGTTCTACATGTAAAAACTATTTAACCACACTACAAAGATGTGAGCAATTAATTCCAAGAATGGTTCATTCTCCCTATTTCTTCCTTTTATCACTTACAGTCATGGGTGTGGGGAATGTCTAGCATAATACTGCAAATAGGTCAGGTACATAACAACTAAATAAACTAAACCAAACCAGACCAGACCAGACCCAAAAAAGACTGTTTAACAGTTAAAAACATACATTTGTAAGTGACAAAGTCAAGGATATTCATTTCACAGTGTGTGACTTCTTATTTTATGGGGAAATATGGAAGGAGCTCATACTGGCACTGAAGGGACAGCGTTCTGTAAAAGATACCGTACATTCTAAAGGAAGCAGTCTGTGCAGAATTGGCCCTCTGCCTTGACTCTTACTGAGTCCAGCAATTAACTCTCTTCTTTTTATGCCAGACTGCATTACCCCCTCTGTTAACCCACTGTGATCCCA